TGATTGGTACAGGTGTACAGTATGAGGTGATTGGTACAGGTGTGCAGTATGAGGTGATTGGTACAGGTGTACAGTACGAGGTGATTGGTACAGGTGTACAGTACGAGGTGATTGGTACAGGTGTACAGTATAAAAGTATTGGTATTGATGATGGGTTGTGGAGAGACAGAACCCCCACTTAAATTGGTACAATGGTGATGCAATTAAACCGTGAAATAAAATCAAACTAAATACTAACTAATAGTATCTATTTAGTGACTAATAGTTCCTATCACTCAACCAGAACATTTATTAAACAAAAGACACAAATGGTCTCTTTACTCACTAAATAGCTACTATTAGTTAGTATTTAGTTTGATTTTATTTCAGGGTGTAATTGCATCCGCTCTAAGACACTACTGTTGGTCTAGTTGGTGAAAAAAACAATGATCTGAGCCTGTTATCACAGTCTCACTACCACTTTATGTATGCTACAGTATTTCGTGCACTAAATGCTTGACTCTCATGCTGGTTTAAACAACGAAGGAAAAATAAAGACCTTGGAGAAAAAACCCCATATTAAAAAGGAAGAGAATAAAACATTGAACAAACTCAATTCACATATGGCCTCCACAGGGCTCAAACTAGCTGTCTGACCTGGTGGACTCACAGCCGTGAAAGGCAATGCATTAGCAGCTATGCCACCCTTGCCACCCCTTGAAATTTTATTAATCTATCTAGTTTTCCTAATGCATACTTTTGAGTTAATTGCCAATGTAGTCAAACTCACCAAAATGCTGGTTGAAAAAAACTCAGTTTTAAAAAATAAACATACAGAATTTCTACCATAAAATTAAGTGGAAAGGTTACCCTATTGTTTCATTTTTGTAATGCTTGCTAGTTCTCTCTTTTGCTTCAAGAGTTTTTCCTTCAGAATTTTGTTTGCTTAATTTAAATTGAATCATGAAATAATTTAATTGGGCTATAACTTGATATAATGRGCTATAATGATAATTACAAGTGCTACCTTGAGGAGTCAAGTGGTGTGAGCTTCTAATGTGTAGCTCTCACCAATTATGCCAAACGGGTTCAATTCCCAAGCTTGGTGTCATGTGAGTAGAGTAGTTTGTTGGTTCTCTTCAGTGATTTTCCTCCTGTGGGTTCCCTCCCTGCTTAACCTATTAAATTCGAATTTGATTTTTGAGCTTTCACCTAGCATTAAAGTGCAAATGAACCCTT